TATATATATATATATATATATATATATATATATATATATATACACATAAATATAACATCAATATATAAAATAGATACATCTAGTGTGATCATGAACTGTGAGACTGTAATGACAAACAGCGTGTATAAGCAAGAAAGTAATTTTATATTTTACGTATAAGTAACCAGAAAGAGAGAAAGAGGGGGGAAAGCCACCCTGACGATAATGCATCCTTTATGATATAACTTGTATAATGTTGATTGATCACTAAATATTGCCGTTATGTCGGAAAAGGAAGAGATACAATGGAAAGTGTCGGCCTGTCGCGGCGAGTTCTTTTCGTACAAACGTGAAAAACGGAAATTCAATATGCGGGATATGTGATGTAAATAAATAAATAATTGATGAGTAAAAATATACGAGAGTGTAAGAGAAAGCGAGTCCCCCGATTCGTGATCTCGCCGAGCGAATTTCCACTGGTCCTTCACTCGCTTCGGAGCGCTTCTCTCGCACAGTGAGGGGAATTGTAGCTATTTTCGGCCTCAATTGCACCCTTTTTATGGTTTAAACAGATTATTATGAAGTCCATGGTTACCATGCCGAAAATCGTACTTAAAGTAGTTGTTATAGCATTAAATATTATATTTTCAGTGGCGCATCAGAAGGCCATTCATAAATTTAATATCAAACAAAAAATTACGTTCCTATACATTTATTTTATTATTTAAATAATAGATATTCATTTTGAACGAAGTTGAGGGAGGGATATATGTATATATACAATGTCACAAATACGAAAATATTATTTTTTATTTTTCTTAATGCTATTTTTATGCATTAGTTCATCTAATAGAGATACACAGATAATAGAAAGAGGTAAATAAGTGTTAAAATATGTGCATATGTACATATATTTCGAGTATTACTACAAGTTATGAACTTTACACCGTTGTATTTTCAAAACAAAATGATCAATAATTCTAAAATCTTTGTATAATGTCTCTATATTAGTCCTTAATATCACAGTAGTTTTTCAAAATCCTAAATATGTTTTAGAAAATATTAAAAATAGGACTTTAATTTCTCA